ATAAGGTATTATTAATATACACTCTTATGAAGGTTCCACATGAAAAACTATGTGGTTACTACATTTACTCATATTATTGAGCCCCCCCATAACCCACTGAAGTCACTGTCCATCAGTGTAGTAAGATGCTACAGAGTCACTATTTGCCTTCTCTGTGCTACACTGCCTTCCCCATGATCCCCCAACACCATGTGTACTAAACATAATATCCCTCAATCCCCTTCTCCCTCCCTCCCCACACACCCTCCCACACCCCTCCCCTTTGGTAACTGCTAGTCCTTTGTTGGAGTCTGTGAGTCTGCTGCTGTTTTGTTCCTTCAGTTTTGCTTCTCTGTTATACTCCAAAAATGAGGGAAATTGTTTGGTAATTGTCTTTCTCTGCCTGGCTTATTTCACTGAGGATAATACCCTCTAGCTCTATCCATGTTGTTGCAAATGGGAGGATTTGTTTCTTTCTTATGGCTGAATAATATTCCATAGTGTATATATACCACATCTTTTTTATCCACTCATCTACTGATGGACACTTAGGTTGCTTCCATATCTTGGCTATTGTAAATAATGCAATGATAAACATAGAGGTGCATATGTCTTTTTAAATCTGAGAAGTTGTTTTCTTTGGGTAAATTCCTAGAAGTGGAATTCCCAGGTCAAATGGTATTACTATTTTTAGTTTTTTGAGGAAGCTCCATACTGCTTTCCACATGGTTGAACTAATTTACATTCCCACAAGCAGTGTAGGAGGGTTCCCCTTTCTCCACTTCCTCGCCAACATTTGTTGTTGTTTGTCTTTTGGATGGTGGCCATCCTCACTGGTGTAAGGTGATATCTCATTGTGGTTTTAATTTGCATTTCCCTGATGATTAGCGATGTGGAGCATCTTTTCATGTATCTGTTGGCCATCTGTATTTCTTCTTTGGAGAATTTTCTCTTCATACCCTCTGCCCATTTTTTAATTGGCTTATTGTTGGGGCATGTGTGTTCTTTATGTATTTTGGATGTTAACCCCTTGTCGGATATGTCATTTACAAATATATTCTCAAACTAGAAGGATTCTTAGAGATCAGTTAGTTTAACTGGATTACCAATGAAAATTTAGGCCAGTAAGAGAAAGAAACTTATCCAGAGACATAACCACGAAGTAGCAGAAATGCCAAGCAAGAGATTCAAAAGAGTAAGGAGAGTTGGTCTCATGAAGAAGCACGTAACATTAAGGGGTCCTTGGCATATAAGCAGCACTAGTTGGGGGTGAGCATTTAATAATGTTGTCAACTGTTCAGTCACTGTTGTATATTTGAAATCAAAATAATATTGTATATGCTTCAATTTAAAAAATCATTTAAGAAGAAACAATTTATGCTCAAAACCTAGGATAGTACCTGGTACATGCAAGGTACTGAAGAATTATTTGCTGAATGAATGTGTGAATGGAGCTTGTTAGTTGTTCCATAATGAAAGACAACCTTTCTTTTTCCATCTGACCCTGCCCTTGACCAAATTCCCTGACTCTGTCAAGTACATTTTCTAATTGAGGGAGACAATCAATAAACAGAATTAATAGACATAATATACAATGAGCTAGAAATAATACTTTTAAGAAGAAAAATAATGTAGGAAAGAGAGATATAAAATGTCAAGGGTTAGAGGTGAAATTTTAGACAGGATGACCAATGAAGATTCACTGAAAAGATGCCTTGCAAGTAAAGACCTGATGGAAATGATAAGGTAAGCGTCCAAGGATCCCTTCATAAATATGGAGAAGCAAGATCAAAGAGATCAAAGGCTCTAAGAAAGGGATGTCCTGTGAGTGTTGAAGGAACAGGAAGGAGGCCATTGTGACTAGACCAAAGTGAGCAATGAAAATAGTAGCAGGAAATGGGATCAGAGAGGTAATGGGAAGGCAAACCATGCAGGGCTTGATGGGACACAGTAAGGAGATTAGTGTTTAATTAGGTTGAAAGGGGAAGCTTTTGGAAGTTTTTAATGTAAGAGTGACCTTATATGACTTACAGCTTTTACTGAATCATTTGAACTGAGTAGGGGCATGGCCAGAAACAGGGAAACTAACAGGGAAGTTACTGACAAAATCTAGGTGAGTAATGGCCATGACCTAGAATAAACGATGGCAGTGCAAGTGGTAAGAGGTGTAGTTGGACTCTGTATAATATCTGTGGCTGCCTGGGACTTTACATACTCATTTATTCATTCAATATCTATGAATGGGTCATAGTAAGGATCAATATCTATGATCCTTATGACACCTCTGGCACCATTCTAGGTACTAGGGATATACCAGTCACAAAGCAAAGCCACTGTCCTCAATAAATTTACATTTGAGTGGGAGACAAATAATAAGTAATCAAATCACTAATGTAACTGTAGATATTAGAATGTGATATAAGAAAAAATAAGGCAGAGTGAGAGGAAAGAGAGGGGTAAAGGAGAGCCTTGTTGGATAGGCTGGTCTCTCAAGCCCTCTCCTTACCACCCACACTTTTAGAAACATCACATTAGATGTTTTCACACTCTTAAATGGGGCTCAGCAACCACAGCCCAGAAAACGCAGGAGAAGATGGAAATATAACTTCAGGTATATTAGCAGAGGGTTTTCACAGGCCTCAAGGGTTCCATGAAATACTCCATTTACATAATATTGGTTCAGGTGAAAGAAGTACTTTCTAACACACTATTCTAAGCATCATGGTGGGTACTAGCACAATAGGAAAATACAGGCATGAATAATCTAGGAGTAACAGACAGACACAGGAACAGACAATATTTTAGTTAAAACTGTCAGAAGAATGCTCTTGGCTAGGAAGAATTAATATTGTCAAAATGGCAATCCTGCCTAAAGCAATCTACAGATTCAATGCAATTCCTAGCAAAATACCAACAGCATTCTTCAGTGAACTGGAACAAATAGTTCTAAAATTCATATGGAATCATAAAAGTCCCCAAACAGCCAAAGCAATCCTGAGAAAGAAGAATAAAGCTGGGGGGGATTACACTTCCCAACTTCAAGCTCTACTACAAAGCTACAGTAATCAAGACAATTTGGTATTGGCACAAGAACAGACCCATAGACCAGTGGATCAGAATAGAGAGTTCAGATATTAACCCAAGAATATATGGTCAATTAATATATGATAAAGGAGCCATGGATATACAATGGGGAAATGACAGCCTCTTCAACAGCTGGTGTTGGCAAAACTGGGCAGCTACATGTAAGAGAATGAAACTGGATTATTGTCTAAACCCATACACAAAAGTAAATTTGAAATGGATCAAAGACCTGAATGTAAGTCATGAAACCATTAACTCTTAGAAGAAAACATAGGCATAACTCTCCTGAATATAAACATGAGCAACTTTTTCATGAACATGTCTCCATGGGCAAGGGAAACAAAAGCAAAAATGAACAGGTGGGACTATATCAAGCTGAAAAGCTTCTGTACAGCAAAGGACACCATCGGTAGAACAAAAAGCCATCCTACAGTATAGGAGAATATGTTCATAAATGACATATCCAATAAGGGGTTGACATCCAAAATATACAAAGAGCTCATGCACCTCAACAAACAAAAAGCAAATAAGCCAATTAAAAAATGGGCAGAGGAACTGAACAGACACTTCTCCAAAGAAGAAATTCAGATGGCCAACAGGCACATGAAAAGATGCTCCACATCACTAATCATCAGAGAAATGCAACTTAAAACCACAATGAGATATCACCTCACACCAGTTAGGATGGCCAACACAGAAAAGACTAGGAACAACAAATGCTGGTGAGGATGTGGAAAAAGGGAACCCTCCTACACTGCTGGTGGGAATGTAAACTAGTTCAACCTTGTGGAAAGCAATACGGAGGTTCCTCAAAAAACTCAAAATAGAAATAGCATTAGACCCAAGAATTCCACTCCTAGGAATTTACCCTAAGAATGCAGGAGCCCAGTTTGAAAAAGACGTATGCACCCCTGTGTTTATCGCAGCACTATTTACAATAGCCAAGAAATGGAAGCAATCTAAGTGTCCATCAGTAGATGAATGGGTAAAGAAGATGTGGTATATATACACAATGGAATATTATTCAGCCATAAGAAGAAAACAAATCCTACCATTTGCAACAACATGGACTGAGCTACAGGGTATTATTCTCAGCGAAATAAGCCAGGTGGAGAAAGACAAGTATCAAATGATTTCACTCATGTGTGGAGTGTAAGAACAAAGATAAAACTGAAGGAACAAATCAGCAACAGATTCACAGAACCCAAGAATGGACTAACAGTTACCAAAGGGAAGGGGACTGAGGAGGGTGGGTGAGGAGGGAGGGATAAGGGGGAAAAAGGGACATTATGATTAGCACACATAATGTACCAGGGGGATACAAAGGAAAGGCAGTATATACAGAGAAGACAAGTAATGATTTTATAGCATCTTACTACACTGATGGACAGTGACTATAATGGGGTATGTGGGGGGTACTTGATAATAAGGGGAGTCTAGTAACCATAATGTTGTTCAAGTAATTGTAGATTAATGATACCAAAATAAAATAAAATAAACTGTCAGAAGGTAGCATCTTGGTGGAAATTAGTAACTCAGTTGATTGAGGTTCAGCTATTGATCAGATTTTCCTTGGAAAATAGAGAGCAAGTGAGAAGCAGGAAGATGGCCTTACTTTCCTTTCTTCTTACTTGGAGAAAAAATATCTAAGAAATTATCTGGTAGAAGAGGTCTGGAGAACTTTTCATACAACCGTTTTCAAAAAGTTGGGGAATTTGCTATTTTCCAAGGGAGTGGGGAGATTTTTTGCTTCGCCTCAGTTCCCATAATAGATATCCCATTTGTATTCCATATTTTTTTTAAATAACAGAATGCTCTTTACACCCTAATCATTTCTACCTTTCTCACACCATCCCTTCATGTTTATTCTTATTCTTTCAGGTAAAATTAGACAACTGCATTGGCACATATCCAGTAAAAAGTGGCATGTAGGAAGGATGGCCATGAACAATGCTACAGCAGTGTTTGAATTTCTCCTTATTGGAATCTCTATCCTGAGTGGAGGGTCACATTTTTCACATTGATGCTGATAACTTACCTCAGCACATTGTTGGGGAATGGACTTACCATCTTTCTTATCCATGTTGAAACCCACCTCCACACTCCAATGTATTTCTTCCTTAGTAACCTGTGTTTCTTAGACCTTTGCTATGGAACAGTTTCCATGCCCCAGGCCTTGGTACATTGTTTCTCACTCATCCCTACCTGTCTTACCCACGATGTTTGACCTGAATGGGTGTCTCCTTGGTCTTGGCCACAGCAGAGTGCCTCCTGCTGGCTATCATGGCCTATGACCGTATGATTGCTATAAGCAATCCCCTGCACTATTCCGTGATCACGAATGGCCCATTATGTGTCTGGCTGGCTGCCATCTCATGGGGGACATCACTTGTGCTCACTGCCATGCTCATCTTATCCCTGCAGCTTCACTTCCGTGGGGCTAATGTCATCAACCATTTTGTTTGTGAGATTCTCTCCCTCCTTAAGCTGGCCTGTTCTGTCATAAGCCTCAATGAGCTTATGATCCTTATCACAGGTGTCTTCACCCTGCTCCTGCCCTTTGAGTTTGTTCTCCTTTCCTATGTCCAAATTGCCACTGGTGTCCTAAGAATTCACTCAGCCCAGGGTAGGCTCAAGGCCTTTTCCACCTGTAGTTCTCATCTGACTGTGGTGACAATTTTCTATGGGACAGCCATTTCCATGTATATAAAACCTCAGTCCAAGTCATCCCCCAACCAAGACAAGTTTATCTCAGTGTTTTATGGGGCTTTGACACCCATGCTGAACCCCCTAATATATAGCCTGAGGAACGAGGATGTTAAGCAGGCAATGAGGAAAGTTATGGAGAAAAGGGCATAAGCCTTCTTTGCTTCTAAACTTCTCAGATAACACTCAGCTACATCTTCACTGATGTTGAAAATTGTTTAAAGGAGCCAACTTTATCCTTGGTAGGGTAGGTGACTGTCCTATGAGAAGCTTCAGGAAGTGCTCCCAACCTCCCTACCAAGATTTGAATTTCCAATACAGGCATTATTTTGACTGTTTCTTTATATATCACACATTAGTGGTCACCCATCAAGTAACTCAACTTCAGGTAAATATGCTTATTGGAATCATTTCCTGAGAGAAGAGAATAAAGCAGCAAGAGAATTTCCTATGATTGCTAGCAGGAGGCAAGGAATAACTGAAATTGAAAAATAGGACAAAATGGTGTAATAAAAGACCAGAAGACAAATGTCAGAAATTTTACAGCTTTACTGAAAGCAAGCCCTATTGTGAAAGTAAAATTTCCTTGTTCCACTTAACCTCAGAATTGTAAGAAAATTGTATCTTAGTCATTTCCTACATTTGTGTGGAATGTTTTATTTCTTCTTTTTTAAAACTTGTTTCAAATCTATTATTTTATTTTATATTCCTAATATCTCTATGACGTTGGTAAGAAAGACACCCCCCACCATTGTTAACAATGAGGAAACTGAGGCCCAGAGAAAGAATTGAGACTTGTCTAAAGTCAGACGTAATTGGTAGTGGAATCAAAATTAGAATTCAGATCATGTATATGCTACTTCCAAACTCTCAGTATTGTCTAGAAAATTATTTGGAGTCATAGAATTACAAATGCAGCTAACATTTATTGAGTACTTACTGTATGCAAGACACCAAGCCAAGCTCTCTACATCCATTATCATATATAATTCTCACAATTCAAAGAAGCAGTCCTATTATCAACCCATATCAGAGATGAGGAAACTGAGACTCCTAGAAGTTAAGTGATATGCCCATGGCCAGAACCAAAAGAAAGCAAAGCCAGTATTTAAACCTAGGTCTGGCTGATTCCAGATCCTATTTACTGCATCCAAACTATAGAAACCTTAGTGATTATTTAATTCAGTGATTTTTAATCTTCATTGTGGTATAATTTATATACAAGAAACTTTATACAATTACAGTGTTCAATTTTATGCATTTTGACAGATACCCACAGAATCACCATCACATCAAGCTGACTACCAGTTTTACCACCTCCAAAAGTTTCCTTGTACTCTTTTGTAGTCCAGCCTTCCCTCCAATCCCAACCCCTGGCAATCACAGATCTGGTTTCTTTCACTATGTTAGTTTTGATTGTCTGAAATTGACTGAAATGGGATCATACAGTATGTACTCTTTTGTGCATGCTTTTAAGGTTCATCCATGTTATTGCATGTATCAGTAGTTTGTTCCTTTTTATTGCTGAATAATATTCCATTGTACAAATTCACCACATTTTAAAAAATTCATTCCTTGTTGATGAACATAATTAAAAGTTTCTGGCAAGCAACAATTTAGTACAGATCTCTCATTTTAGAAGCAGAAACAGGCTCATTAAACAGAGTGTAAATTTCCCAGGACCATGAACCTTTTTGAAAGCGGATCCAGAGCTAAGACCCAGATATCCTGTCTCCTGGTCTCCCTTCACTTTGGGCAATTCCACCAAATATAATGAAGTCATTTCCCAAGCAGCCTGATGGAGAACCAGAGACAAATGAGTTGGAAAAGATTATAATGCACAGCACCTATATGTGAAGCACGTCACTACCGAACAAGCAGATATTTGGTGCATTCCTCAGACCTGACTGCTGGGAGTTGATATGACGTGTGGTGCTGCAGAGAGAGTGCCAGACACACAAGAGAACTGTCTCACATGTTTACTCACTAAATGAAAAAAAAAAGAGAATGAAGAAACCACTTATCAAAATAACCTATTTTTCAAATAAGTGCAACATTTATTCAAATTTCATCTATTACACATTTTTGAAAGGTTACGGTATTCTCAGACACCAAAGCCATATTTTAATATCAAGAAACAAAAAAATATTTAGAAGAAGCCAAGTGATTTCAACCTTTAATTTATTCACACAACAAATATTAACTTTCTACTTTCAGCCGGGCACTGTGCTAGGTGCTAGGGCAAGTTTCACACTTTATACAAAAATGTTCCTTATTATTGATAAACATTTCAAATTAACATTGTAAAATCAAGTTAAATTTGTGAAATCAGTAAAATTTTAGAGGAAAAAACAACAGTGCTTTCAGATAGAAATTCAGAAATTTGGAGAAATGTTAAAAGTACTCATTTTAACAACCCTGCCTTTTGAAGGAGAAATATTCCACTCTCCATTAAAGGTCAGTTTACAGGGCAAAATGAAAATCATATTTGCACTAATGGTGCCCCTACCACAAAAAATAGTAGCTCTGTCACTAGGTGCTTTGTCTCTTTATTGACTTGTTGGTACAGACACAGCCTACAGACAGAGTGACATAACAGAGTTTGAAGACTGAGGCTGTGGAATTGATTCTCCTACTAACTAGCTGTGTGACCTTAGTTATATCACTCTCTGGCCCTCAAATTTGCTCATCAATATAACAAGAAGGTTGTGTTTTGTTACCCAAGGACCTCTCTAGTTATCACATTCTGTGTCTAGATGTTACTTTATATAGATTTTCTTTCTTTTCTTAAAAAAATGGAATCATATCATCAATTTGCTGTGCAACTTGCTTTTTCCACTTAACAAATATATCATGTGTATTCCTCCAGATCAATATATATAGATCTATCTGCCTGACTTTAAATGTTAGCTTTGACTGAAAAAGTAGGCACATATAGCAGCTAGTTAATATAGCTATGACCCTTCCAGCATTAACATTCTGCTTCTAGACATCTAAACCCCAGAGGTCATCTAATTCAACATTGATATTAATTTATTTTAAATATAAAAATGAATTTTATGAGGGTGTTGTGAAATGGAACCAATTCTAAATTGTTCAAAACTCTTGAGTTTGACTACCTTTTCTCCACTTGATCAATTACAGGCATGACGAGAAGAATTCCAGTGTGCATCCCACATCCCAGCAGCTGGGTAGTGAAGCTTACCTTGCTTCACCCTGGAAAGTAAATAAAGATTGGTTTGAAACTAAGTTCCATCAGAAATTGAGGAGAAAGTTTGCAAACTGAAAAACAGGCTCCAAATTATATTTTCCAATGGGAAATTCAGAAAAAGACACCATGCGCCATTCATTAGATTTGGGAATTCAGCTGACGAAAGGCAGTGAAGTACAACTATTTAGAGTACTTGGATTCAGTTCTTCTTTCTGTCACTTCGTCAATCAAGTCATCCTCTGTGTTTTGATCTCCACATCTAAGTGGGCTAATAATAGGACCTACCTGTAGTGTTCAGTTTCATTGTATTTGTCCACTCAAGCTCTTACAGGCAGGAAGGGATTTAACAAAGAGAATCCAAGGCCTACAAAGCCTTTGGAACGGCTGTGAGAGGCAGGTAAGGGAGTGTTGTGAACAACCTCCGATAGTTGCAGGAATCTTGGGCATTTTTAGAGGTATCAGGAAACTGCCACCAGTTACATCGCCATAGCAAGTGTTTCACAGAAGAAAGCTCAGAGGCTACTTAAATCTCTGATTGATAAAGTCTACACACCTAAACATGTCAGGAGAAGCAATGGTAGCATCTACATCTCTCATGCTTGACACGTTTCCTGCAAGTACCTCTTATGGATGAAATCCAGACCCAACTGTATTAGCCAAGGAGTGAGAAATGTAGTTTCTAAGTTCTATACAATGCTGGTGAGAGCTGAGAAGGATGAGGATAGTGTTGAATATGACTACATAGCTTGGTTAGGAGAATTGCATGACTCAATTCACGTGAAGCACTTAAGAAAGTGTTTGGCCTGTAGTTAGAGAACAATAAATGTTAGCTGTCTTTCTGATGCCTGACTCATGTGAGCCTAAGATGCCATGAACTGAAGTACCTACTTGCTTCCCAAATAGTACATTGCAATTCTGCTCCTTCACCTGTGCATTCAAGCATCCATACATGTACCATTCATTTGAAATATATTTATTAATCAACTACTATATAGTAGGTACTGTGCGATTGCAAGGGATTCAGTGTTGAAGAAAGCATATTTTTTCCTCCCCTCAAAGAATTCACTGTCATGTAGCAAGAAAGGCATGAGCACAGGCCACGTTACTGTGCGAATTTAAATCTTCCTAGTTCTTAAGATTGTAAAGCACTTACAGTCTATCTTATTTTTGAACACACATTGATTCATATCATCTTCTAAATAAGTAAATTAGATAAGCAAACTGGTATTATTATTATTATTAATATTATGAAACTGACATTGATAGTTGATGAAGAGATTTAGAGAGGCTGGGATATTATCAAGGTCAACAGTGACAGGACTGGGATTAGAATACAATTCTCCCATATTTACCATGGTGATCATTTCACAGGGTAAACAAATATCAAATCACTATGCTGTGCACCTGAAATTAATATAATGCTATGTATCAATTATACCTCAATTGAAAAAGTCAATTTAATTTGATTTTTTTAAAGACCACAATTCTCCTGATGCTGAGATGCTCTTTCTGAAGGGAGCCTGGTGGATTCAGGGAGTCCTTGGAAAAGAGGAATAGGAGGAAGGCAACACTGTTCCTGAACAGAGAAAGGTAAAAACGGTTTTCAGATTTTCTGGGTTAAAAATCTGACCCTGACACTTACTTGCTATATTACCTTGAGCAACTTCCTGCCTCAATTTTCTCATTTATAACAGGAAGGCAATCATAGGACTGACCTCATAGGGTTGTTCAGCAGATTAAATTAGTTGATTTATGTTAAATGCTGAGAACTATGGCTGGGCCATAGTAAGCCCTCAATAAACATTACTTATTTTTTTACTATTGTTATTATAGGTTTATTATTATCATTACTGAATTCTCAACTGACTCAAAAGTGGTTGGTGCTCATGTCACTGGGTGCCTTATCTCTCTCTTCTTTTTTCCCCACAAGTGATATGCATGG